GGCTGGGAGGGCTTGACGGCTCCTGCGTAACTCTTCCTACTTCCTACTTCTGCTCTGTTGTTCCTGTTAAAACAATGTTTATGATAATGGCAATGCCAAGAATCTTTCCTTTGGCTTTTGAAGGTTTTTTTCCCCTTGATTACTAAAATCACAACTTCTTACTATACAAAAATGTAATGTTATTAAAAATATTAAATAAAAAGTGAACATTTCCTGCAATTTTGCAAATCCTCTCTTCCCTTACGATCCCAACACTGCTACTGTCAACAATTTATTCCTCATTTTTAATGATGTGCAGGCCTGGAGGCTCTGTGCTCTCCTGGGAATTCTTCATTGTGCCCCTTTTGCTTCAGGAATTTCTATTTATCTTTATAAAAGAAAGCTTAACTATCACCTTTGTGAAGGTGCTTTGACCCAGCTAAGCCATACCAATCCCTCCCGCTCCTAGGTGCCCAAAGCAGTTTGTACATCCTTCAGTTAAAGAACTTAAAACAGTTTCATGGCAATTTTTGAATTCAATGTCTCTCTCACTTCAAGGCCTTCAAGGACCACGTCTCATTCCTCTTTGGTACAAGGCATCTGGCACTCACTGACATGCAGGCCAGTGCACCGTGAGTATTTGTTGACTGAATCAGTGAAGGAATTTACAAATAAAATATTTTTCTAACACATAGACTCTCAAGCTCTGTAATAATCACAACCAGGATGCTCACATTTAAATTTCTCTAGAAAGATGTTTCACACATATTCCTCATTTCAACAACCCAGTAGTGCTATTACTTCTGATCTTTTCCCTTTGTTTAGGCCTAAAAACTCAAAATTCTAACTTCACAGAAAATGGTAAATTTGGAAGAATTTGGGGATGGATGGTGGTTTATTTTTCAAGTGCCAAATGAACATTCTGAAGCATAGGATCCTTTGCCATAGGCTTTGTTCACTGACACCAGAACATTCCAGGAAATGACATTTCAAATAAACAGTTTCAAGTCCAGTAAACCACAAACACAAAGAAGTATTCAATAGCATTTCAAAGCAAATAGCCTTCTGTTGACAGTTACACAGGAATGACTGATTATATTTGGAAAGCACAAATATCTCTTCTGTTAGATTAATTGAATATAATTTTAGCTGAGGGCCTGGGCAAAAGAGTGAACCTATAATAATAGTAAAAGAAGAGAACAAAGGAAAAGAGATAAGGAGGGAAGGATGGACCTTAGAACTATATTCCTAAATATCAGAAATCCCTGCTTGACCAACATTCAAATTCACAAGCCCCACTGTAGGACTTTGACATACACGCGTGCTGCATGACATATCGTCCAAGGAACAGCAGCCAAAAGAAGTTACTTTCCTTGGAAAAAGAGATTGCCACAGAGTTTTCATACTTCACCACTTAAATAGTTTGGGCTTAATATAGTTAAGTAATATAATTATGAACCCATTTCCCAAAGTCCTATTTCTTGTTCATGTGTACCAGTTATTTTCTTTTTTTTTTTTTTTAATTTTTTTTTTTCAACGTTTATTTATTTTTGGGACAGAGAGAGACAGAGCATGAACGGGGGAGGGACACAGAATCGGAAACAGGCTCCAGGCTCTGAGCCATCAGCCCAGAGCCCGACGCGGGGCTCGAACTCACGGACCGCGAGATCGTGACCTGGCTGAAGTCGGACGCTTAACCTACTGCGCCACCCAGGCGCCCCGTGTACCAGTTATTTTCAACTAGAACTCATATGTCACTTGTTGGACCCAGCTCTTTGTATTAAAACACATAGGCAATCTACAAATAGAAATCCACAATCTAATTTTAACTTTAAAGAGTAAGACTCAGTGGGCACAATCACAGGAAGTGAGGTACAGAGATGACACCGGGCATTTGACCTAAGCAGGAAGTGACAAGGAGAAATTCAGACGCCTGAAAATGTAGTATGAAAGTAGAAAAAAGTGAAGGAGTCACTGGGTTTCCATCATATAAGAGATAGCAGCTTAAATAGTAAAGAGAAAGCATATTTAGGTATACCACAGCAGCTGGACCTAGAGTTACATCAGTTTAACTAACATATTAAGTGAAGAAGCAATATATTTACTAATGGGGGTAAGGGTAAAAAAAATTATCATTCTCTTTTACATAAAAAATATAGTACTGTCAGCGTTACACTTATTAAATAATAATAAAAGTTAACATTTATTGAGTACTTGGTTGGATCAGACACTATTCTAAGTACATTACGTGAGTAGACTTTTAAGTTTTCAAAGCAACTGTATGAGTTAGGAACATTATTATCCCAATTTCACAGATGAGAAAACTGAGGCACAGAAAGGCAAAAGCCACACACTTTGTAAATGCAGAGCCAGGATATGAACTCAGGCAGTCTGGCTCCATAGTCCTATGCCTTTTAACAGTATGTCATGCTACCTCTTAACACCTATTCAAAAGAAATATTACTCTTTATTTTAGAGTTTGTTTTCATATGTTTACATGAATAAACATAGGATTCTTCATAGGTTTTCAGAAACCTATAGGAGAGTTAAGTCTTGAATTGAAGGAGGCTATTTACTAGCTATCAAAAGCAACTGAAGTCAGTGTTGAAAAAAAATACTTAATCCACCTTTGCATGATGTTATATTCATCCATGCAACTGAATCCAACTCAATTAATGGTGATTTAGGATTCCATGCTGAATACTAAAAATGTTAGATTCAAAGCCTAGAGAAGACATCATTTTTATTCCCATCTAAAGCAGATAAAATGTTCTGGAAGCTTACAGTTAAAAGAGATAAAGAAAATTAAGACCAGAGAGTTCAAATGACCTGCCTGAGGCCAAAAAAGCAGTTTGAGGCACAGAGTGACGTAAACTCTGATTCAGATGGGTCTGGTTCTCTCTTTGCTATACCACTTTGTTTCTAATCAAGCTGGCTGAACACATCAAAATAAAATCAACTTCCAAATGCATATCTGGGCCCTATAAAGAGGGAAATGTTTGATATCTGCCTGCCTCATGTCTAGAACCCACTTCATTCCGGAGTTAAGGTAAGGACAGAGAGAACAGACCACCAAGGGAATATTTTTAAGGGAAGGAGGAGATGATTCACACATAGAGTACCCCAGATCTTCTCTGAAGGAATGTATGTTTTGGGTTTTGTTTGCTGGACAATTCATCTCTCTCAAACCTTACACAATTCTAAAAGCAGACCTTGAAATTATGTCTATACTGGCACCTATATGTGTAGGTGCTTGTGTATGCTCCAATTCTATTCTAAGGGTTCTTAAGAACAGAGGACATGTTCTAAACCTTTCTGTATGTCCAGATTTTACCAAGTGCTTTCATACAGTAGGTGTTCAGTATGGAAGTGTTGAAAGTGTAAGTACATGGAATGTAAGGTTTCCAATGAGTTCATTTTCTCTCTCTAAAAAAAAAAAAAAAAAAGTCCTGTATTCAGGTCTCTTAGTGATTTTTTTTTTATTAGTTTATTTTAGTGGAGAAATTTTATGTATTCCTCCACCACCACCCCTGACCTGCCAAGGGATATTTGGCAACGTCTGGAGACCATTTTGGTTGTTAAAACTTCAGGGGGATGGTGCTTATTGGTATCTCGTAGATAGAGTCCAGGGATGCTGCTAAACATCCTACATGCATGAGACAGACCCCACAATAAAGAATCATGTAGCCCCAAACGTCAGTAGTATCAAGGTTAAGGACTGTTTAGAAGTACAAAACGCACAACCACCTCTCCATTTCCCCATTTTTAAAACACAAGTAAGACATAAACCAAAATGGCACACCAAAGATATGCCTAAGCAAGACCATTTCAGCAATCTATTGTTAATATGACCAATTATTTAATAGGCTTATTTTTAGGATTATAAGGGTTATTAAACACTGGAAGAAATGTATGAATTTAAACACACACACATACACACACACACACACACACACACACACACACACACACATATATATGGAAAGCCTTCACCAAAAAAGATGTTCTGATCTTTACTGTATATGAAGCTGAGGCTACTTCACAGTTATGACAAAACATTGTGCTGATGAGGCATTTTAAAGCCACCCCTGCCCTAACTCAGATGTGGGACTCTTCAAATTGTTTCATTATTTCTATTTTTCTAAGTTTATTTATTTATTTTGAGAGGGAAAGAGTGTGGGGGGGGAGGGGTACAGAGAGAGAGAGAGAGAGAGAGAGAGGGAGAGAATCTCAAGCAGGCACTGCACTCAGTGCAGAGTTCCACCTGGGGCTCAATCTCATAACTGCAAGATCATGACTTGAGCCCAAACCAAGAGTTGGACACATAACCAACTGAGCCACCCAGGCGCCCCCAGACTGTTTCATTATTTCTAACCTCACTCAAAATCCACCTTTTTGACCAGCACACAAAGAGGAAATATATGTTTTTTTGTGTGTGCAAATAGGGTCATCAAAAACTGCTTTACTATTGGCTTATCCTTTGTATGCCTGTCCATCTTCTTCATTTCTAGGTTCACCTGGAAGTTCCTGTTTTCCAGCCTAGATTCCTTATTGTGGGTCCTTATTGAAGGATCATTCCTTCAGTTCTGCATTGCTCTCTTTGACTTCTGCCACGGAAAGATAGCTGCAGTAAAGCTATCCTAACAGCCTAATAATGTCTTTAAGATGAACAAGGAAAAGGAGGCAGGGGGAGCTGCTGGCTTTTCTTTGGACTTGGTCATGGTTTCCTTACATAGTCTCCAGCTGATGTGGTTATATTTGCTACAGTTTTATTTGCTTGTTCTTTTTCCCTAGTGCCTCATATTTGATACTTTGGATATCTGGCATACACTTGAATAAAAATTTCTTTCTTTAAGGGGACAAATTCATTCTTTTCTGAGAATAAACTAACGAACACATAGATCTCAGGAGGATCTCTGAACATACTACAGTCACTAATCTGTTCAGTATTTTGTGTGTTGAGTTAAACGTGTCACTACTGAGATCCTCATACATTGGTTAATGACTTTCTAAATATTTACCAAGATCTTTAATAAGCGAGAGTGCTTCCCATGATATAAAGGCTCCACCGCCATCATCCATGGCACCCTGCCCCACATCCCAGCTGTCCAGATGTCCACTGACCAGTACGACCTAGAACAAATAATAAAAAGAGAAAAAAAAAATAAAACTAAGCAGAAATGACATCAAAGAGGAAGCATTCATAGTCATTCCAAATATAGAAATGAAACTTTTATATTTTCTTTTCTATTTTTACATCTTAAAAGATCTATGTCATTACTAGTGGAAAACCTGGTATAATGCTCTATATAAAGGGTGTAAGGTCATCCTAACAGTAATAAAAATTCTCACCTTGTACTTCTCTTCACAAATATAAGTTTGAATACTAAAGTGAAATGGTTTATTACTGACCAATGTTTTACAACTTTATTATATGGCTTAAAAGCTAAATGACATAAATGGGGCTCAAAACTTCAACTATATTCTCAACTGTCCCAAATTCTAGCAGACAATAATAAACATGTGTTGAACTGAATTCAAATGAAAAAGTGAGAACGATAATTTTTTATTTTTTATTATTTTTATTATTTTTTTAGCATTTTTTATTTTTTATTATGAAATTTATTGTCAAATTGGTTTCCATACAACACCCAGTGCTCATCCCAACAGGTGCCCTCAATACCCATCACCCACCCACCCCTCCCTCCCACCCCCCATAAACCCTCAGTTTATGATCTGTGTACTATAAATCACTCTGGTGTTAATAAATAAATATACTGGGGTTACAAACTACAGTCTAGTTAGACAAAGAACTTTAAAAAAAAATTAAATTTACACTAGTCTTAAATAAGTCTACAGATTATATTACAAATTTTAAATCACCAAAGTTTTAAATTATTTTCAAGAATCATTAGAAATTATCTCCAGGAAAATAGAAACCATATTTCAATAAAACTAAATTTCATTAAAACATTTTAAACAAAGCAAGTTAAGTGATGCTTGCTTAATGGGATATCCATATGGAAAAATTGTACCTTGACCTCTATTTCACACAATATATGAATGTCAAATCAGATAGATTACAAATCTAAATAAAGATGTTAGAGGAAAGCATAGAAGTTTTGTCAACTTGGAGTAGGCAAAGAGCACACACCATAAAAGAAAAAGTAACAAACTGAACTTTTAAAAAATAAGGAGTATCTGTTCATCAAAAGACCCCATTACAAGAGTGAAAAGGCAACCCACAGAGGAAGAGAAGATATTTACAATACATATACACAGCAAAGGAACCATATCCAGACTATATAAAAAATTCCTACCAAACAGAAATAAAGAGGGAGTCAACTTATAAAAACATGGGCAAAAGACTCGAATTGACAACTCATAAAAATAGGCATACAAATACTAATAATCAAGCGAAAAGGTGCTTGGGTTCACTATCATCAAGGAAGTACAAATTAAACCACATTCAATACATTTCCACCAAAATGACTAAAATAAAAAAGATAGAAAATGTCAAATATTGGTGAGGAGATAGACTGGAACTCTCACACACTGTTGGTGTGAGTGTAAGTGCTTATAACCACTCTGGAAAACTGATTTATGTACTGAGTCTGAACATACACACACCCTGTGTGTGCCCCAACACTTCCACTTCTATATATATCCAACAGGAATGTATGTGTGTATGTATACCTTCACCAAAAGAGATGTACTAGAATGCTCAGAATGTTCATAATGGCCCCTGCCCCCCCCACCAAAGGAAACTACTTTAATGCCTGTTAACAGAGGAATGAATAAACTGTGTTGTACTGATCAATGGAACACTACATAGCAGTAATAATGAACGAACACAATACATGATCAATGGAGATAAATCTCATAAACATTATGAAATGAAAGAAGCCAGACACAAAATAATATATATCATGTATAATTCCATGTATATAAAATATAAAAACAATCAAAACAAAGAAGAATGGTTACCCAAGGTGAGAAGGGTTAGTGACATGAAGGAGAGCTTCTGGGGTGCTGGGCACATTCTGTTTCCTTATCTGGGTACAGTTACGCAGGTGTGCTCAGTTTGTAAAAGCTTATCTTGTTACACACTTAGGATCTGTACACTTTCTCTGAGAACATTACATACCAATAAAAAGTTTTCAAAAGTTCAACAGATTGATGTCTATATACAGCATGTAGTAAGCAAACCAAAGTTGAATGAATCTTCTCGATGAATGAAACAAAAATGCCCCATGACTTTGGGAAAGCAGGATTTGGGTTCTGAAATATCAGGGTGACCCCTTGCACTGCCTGATTCCCCAGGCAGCTGTAGGATCCTCCATTGACTCTGCATACACACACAGCCAGACCCAGCCGGCATGACTTCATTGTAGTCACAAACAAGTACAATGCCTTGTAACTAACGAGACTAACAAATGGCCATGTAATGAACCCAAATGGATTGTTTCTAAGGAAAGAGGAAAAAAATGAAGAAGAAAACATGCTGCAATAGCAGGAAATTCTGACTCAGACGTTGGTGTAATCCCATGTGGGATGGACAAGCCAATTAGTCAACATTCTCACCATCCTCGGACCCATTTTCTCAATGAAATTGGAGTTCCCGTGGATTAAAAGTGTCAAAATGTGTTTTAATGAACTTTTTCCCAGTTAACACATAAGAGTAACTAAATCAAGGCAGCTGTTATTTCATCTTTCAGAATAATTGAGGTTATTTTACAATCATACTTCTTTATGTTTTCTAAAATGCCTCCATTATCCCACCCAGAATTATTACTTAAATAAATAATTAAAAGATGGGAGAAATGGTTTTGAATGATAGGAAATTAAATGTTATCCCATAAAATAAGGTCTTTGGCACAGTGCTAAAGAAGATTGACTACAAACCATGTAGATTTTAAGAGCTTATTTTAATATGTTTTTTAAAATCAGAAAATATATTGGGGGCCACTGTGAGACAGCAGCTGTAATTTTGATATAAAAAGTAGGTAATGACAATTCAGTAGCATTTTTAACAAACTTGAGTTTTCCTAATCATAAGAGCTCTACTCCCCTTAGAAAACAGTGATGCACAAGGTCTCATTCAACACGGTATCTGCATTATCATGCTTTAATGCAGTCCCACAAAGGATAAACCAGTACAACATACAAACTCACCATGCCTTGTGTCAGGGTCAGGCAGAAACGAACATTACTTATAATACATTTGTATCCGATTTAGGCAAACATACTAAAAACAGACTACCAAGAGACACAGTAAGCTCTAGTTTCTTGAAAAAGAATCACCTGATAAAAGACAGGAAAATACACAGTCCCTTCACTGCCTCTGTTGCCAGATGTGGAGCCCTTAGTGCAACAGGATGGCCTAGAACTAACAGAGAAGTGGGACACTCACCTATTTACTCCTCTTGTGTGCTGCTCCCCGAGGCAGGTAGAGCACTGACCAATTCCCCACCCACCACTTTCCTTTTTACCACCATCTCTTCCAAACACAGCAAAGAGTAAAAGTTATTAAAACAACAGCAGCAGCAATAGCAGGCACACCAAAACAATTAGGAAGGCAGAAGCAGAACTGTGATGATCTGAAATGCAGCTTCTTATTTGTGAGGAACACATTAGCCTTGACCACCAAAGACTCAGGCCTTGAGGTCGGGTGGGGCGGTGGGAGAGAGAACCTACCACAGAAGGGCAGAAACATACCAGATGGGAACCTGCTAAGATGAACAAAGACCAGCCGTGGCACACAACCCCCTACAGGCCAGCTGTGGGCCTGAGAGCAGAGATAAACTAAATCAAGGGTAGACAGACAGCAGCCTCAAGGACAAGCCCCTTACATCTTCATTATTGGTACATCTGGAGACACTAGTGCAAATAGATTTGCCTGATTAAATGATGAGTAAGAACATAATCAAAATGGGACATATGAAAAACATGGCAGAACAAGGAGAGAAAACAGCCTCAGTGGAAGTACATTCTTATGAAAGCAAGTTAATTCAAGGTATTGGAGAAAATGCCATGATCTTTGGCATTCACTGCATGCATTTATTCAACAATTTGTATTGAGTTCGTATTATGGGCCAGAAATACAGAAATGAAAAAATAAATAAATATTCTATCTTCATGGGATTATCGTTCTGGTAAGGGAAACAGACAATAAACAAATATGATATGATGGTAGTTTTAAGTGCTATAAAGAAATACTGGGCAAAGAAAGAAAATAGAGTGGTGGTAGCATGGAGAGGAAAGATCAGTGTGCTTCCTCCTAAAAGGTGGACAGCCACAGGAGTGTTCTGTGCCTGCCCTAACAATGAGAGAAATCTGGATGATCTATAAAAGCATAACTTTTTAAGGCCCATCAGAGATTTCAGATTGTGATTCAGTCAGAGGCGCTGAATTCCAGAGGACAACAAGCTCAAGGAGAGATTGGACACATGAGTTGCTTGGCCTTTTGCAGAGCCAGGAGGGACAGGTGCCAGCAATAGACAGAGGTGTCAGACAAAAGCAGGAATGAAGAAGACAACTAAAAGGTTAACAAATTCTGAAAAGGCAAATGTGGGTTAATATGAGAGTTTAGAATACCTGGAAACCTCTCATGTAAGGTACTAGGTACCCAAATTTCCAGATCTTTTCCATAGGCCTCCATCAGGTACTCCCAAGAAATACTAGGAGCAGGGCAGAAGCCCTGAGAGAGCTTGCCTCAGTGATGCAGGAATGCAGATGATGACCAGATACTATTGGGAGGCAGGCGCCAAACATAACCTGCTTCTGGGGCCCTTCTCTCATAGGAAGAAGTCATCTGCCCCTCCGGGAGAGGGGGAGTGCTATCTTGCAGGGCAGTCCTGGGCAAAGGTCAGTGGCTACAGGGAAAGGGGTAGAAAATTGCACTCCCACCCTGTACTGACACTAGGAAAAGCATGGATGCCTCTTGGGGAGGGCAGGAAACCAGCTCATACCTAGAATTCTGCATTGACTTAAAGCAGAGTCCTGCTGCCTTGGGGTGAGGGCTCGGAGTGGGGTGGGATACTCATTCCCATGACTACAGCAGAGTTTGGCTTCCACAGGGGCTTGGGAAAGAGTAGAAATGTTGGGAAAGCCCCACTCTTGTCCTCAGGCAC